CTCCCCGGTGACCAAAATGCCTCATCCCTGATCACAAAAACCTCCCACTCGAAAACCGACTCCCAAAATCCGCCGCCTTACTTATCATCTCCCTCCGCTGCGCATGGGAAATCTTCCCGGCGAGGCCCATGTCCTTCTCGCGATCAAACGCCCGCTTACTGGGATCATCCTCCTCCTCTTTGGGCAATTTCTTATGCTTCTCGCGCGCCGCCGCATCCTCCCTTCGCTTCTCCTCATTATACCGCTGAATCTTCTCCTGCATCGCCTTGGACGGCTGGGTCTGTTTACCACCAACGCCACCGCTACCAGCCCCGGAATCGGTGTTGCGCGGCGCCTGCACGCCCAGCACCTCGTCCTGGAGCCGCTTCATCTTCTGCTCCGGGGTCTCCGTCCACGTGACGTCGACGCCACCGCCCGAGGCACCGGCGTTGCCGGCGCGGGGCCCGGACTGGAAGCGCCGGTTTTTCAGGCGCGTGGGGTCGACGCGCGCGGTCCGATCGGAGGGTTCGAGGGGTTCGAGCATCCAGGCGTCGCGTTGGGGTTCTGGTTTTGATGTCGTGGAGGGGTATGCGGGGGTTGCTGTGGAGTGAGTGGGTTGTAAGCTGCCGGCGGGTGGGGGGAGGGTTGGGCCGAAGTCGTCGTCGTCGGAGCTGTCGCTTTCGCTGTTGTTATCGCTGATAGTGGCGCTGGGTTTGTGGTTGTTGTTGGTCTCGTCGTCGCTGGCGCTGGATTGCGCCGGTGGGGGAAGGGAGGGCCCGATGACTCGGCGGCGTTTGCTGGATGCGTCCTCTGTTTCGATGGGCGCGGGCCTGGGGCCGACGGTTGGGCCGGCGTATTTGCGCTTCTCTGGTTGTTGGTCCATTGCGGCTTGAAGGTCGGAGGAGGTGGTTTCAAGGTGAAATGAGGGTGCAAGGTTGAGGTAGTCTTGCCGATGACAGTGTAGAGAATGTGTCACTTGGGAATTGCAAGTCCTGCTTGCGTGTTGAGCTGAGGGGCTTGATCAAGTTGCTAGGTGAGGTAGGTTTGGTAAAAATTGGTAGTTTTTTTTCAAGATTGAGCGCTGTAGAAAAGGTTGAAGTTGAATGCGACGAGGAGTCCTGTGCAAACCAGGCAAAACGTCAGAAGTCTGATCATGTGATCTGGTCCCCCAATCTTATCGATAACTGTTTTCTGCATATCTAATCGCTATCGATAAGATGCGAAAATACTCTAGCGAGCTCATCATCGTCATGGACAATACCTTCGAATCAGCTCAATGATCTCAATGATATTATACTCCTTACATAATAACTCACCCATCACAAGAACCTACAAGACACGCATGATCTAAGGAACAAAATCCCGTCATAAAATAAATCTAACCCGCTTTTTGCCCCGAATTTTGAATACTCAAACAGCCCAAGAACCCTAAAAGCCCCACGGATATATGTACATAACAGAAGATAGACACAAGAGGTAACAAACAAGCAGCACAGTTGATCTTCTAGCGTAACTCGCATAGAAATAAGATCAAAGTGTTTATTGCTTGTTGGCCCGCTGCGCCAACAGGTTCAACGCACTACCAGCCAGGATAAAACCGCACTGGTCGGGGCTGAGAGTATGGCGGACGGGAATGACGAGCTGCTCACCCGAGCGCTTGGTGACGTGCAGCTGGATGGAGCCCTGGCCACCGGCCTGGAGGACATCGTACAGGCCCTCGGTGGCGACCTGATCGCAGGCATCGATCTTGTCGTAGTCGGCGGGGTTCTCGAAGGTCAAAGGCACGACACCCTGCTTCTTGAGGTTGGTCTCGTGGATACGGGCGAAGCTCTTGGAGACGATGATGCGGCCGCCCAGGTAGCGGGGCTGCAGGGCGGCGTGCTCGCGGGCACTGCCCTCACCGTAGTTCTCCTCGGCGACGACCAGCCACTCGGTGCCCTGGGACTTCCAGTGGGCAGCCAGATCGGGGATCGAGTACTGCTTGCCGGCCTCGTCGTAGGCCACGTTGGTCTCGCCGGTGGCGGCGTTGACTGCGCCGATCAGAGTGTTGGCAGAGATGTTGGGCAGGTGACCCTTGTACTTCAACCACGGGCCGGCCGCGGAGATGGTATCGGTGGTGCACTGACCCTTAACCTTGTAGAGGACCTTCAGACCAGAGAGCTCGCCCTTGGGGAAGGGAGCAAAGGGCTCCAGCAGCGCCAGACGGTCGGAGGTCGGGGAGACAATCACCTCACAAGAGGCGTCAGGAACAGCAGCGGTAGGCTGGAAGTCAGGGTTGCCGTCGGCGAATCCCTGGCCGGGGAGGGCCTGGCCCGTAGGGGGCTGGAAGCGGAACTCCTCGCCGCTGGGGGTCGTGATGCTGTCCGTCATCGGGTTAAAGGTCGTGCTGCCGGAGTAAACCATAGCAGTGACCAGCTCGGGGGAGGCCAAGAAGTTCATGGTCCGGCGGTTACCGTCGTTACGGCCGGGAAAGTTGCGGTTGTACGAGGTCAGGATGGCATTGTCCTCGCCCTTGGGGACGCCGTCCGTGCGCTTCCATTGACCAATGCAGGGTCCGCATGCATTGGCCAGCACGGTACCTCCCGCCTGCGAGAAGGTCGACAGCGTCTGATCACGGTCCAGAGTAGCCCGAATCTGCTCACTACCAGGCGTGATGAAAAAGTCGGCTTTGGGCTTGAGGCCGGCCGCGGTGGCCTGCTTGACCAGGTGCTCAGCACGGGTCATATCCTCGTAGGAGCTGTTGGTGCAGCTGCCAATCAGACCGGCTCCCAAGGTCTGGGGCCAGCTCTTCTCACGGACGGTGTCAGCGAAGGCAGACACGGGAACCGAGAGGTCCGGAGTGAAGGGACCGTTGATGTGAGGCTCCAGGGTGGACAAATCGATGGTGATCAACTGGTCGTATTGGGAACCGTTGTCAGCCCGCAGGAGGTTCTGGGGTCCAGAGGCGGCAATCTCAGCGGCAGCCTTGGCCACATCGCCACGGTGAGTAGCCTGAAGGTACGGAATGTGGTTGGGAGAGAAAGGGAAAACCGAGGTGGTCGCGCCAACCTCAGCACCCATATTACAGATGGTAGCCATGCCTGTGCAGCTCAGAGTCTCCACGCCGGGGCCGTGGTACTCGATGATGAATCCAGTGCCACCACGAACAGTCAGCTTGCCAGCCAAGTGGAGGATGACGTCCTTGGGAGAGGCCCAGCCGTTCAGCTTGCCCTCCAGGCGCACACCCAAGATGCGCGGCGCCTTCAACTCCCATGGCGCATCGACCAGGGCGTCAACGGCATCCGCACCACCAACACCAATGGCAATGGCACCAAGACCACCAGCATTGGGGGTGTGACTGTCCGTGCCCAGCATCATCAGACCAGGAGCCGAGTAGTTCTCGAGCACGCTCTGGTGGATGATACCAGCACCAGGGGGCCAGAACTCGATACCATACCGCTTAGCAGCGCTCTCCAGGAAGTCGAACACCTCGCTGTTTCCCTGGATCGAGGCCGGTAAATCGACATCGGCACCGCGCTCACCGACAATCATGTGGTCGCAGTGGATACTGGCAGGGACCGCAGTCGAGGGCAAGCCGCAGGACATGAACTGCAGCAGAGCCATCTGGGCAGAGGCGTCCTGCATCGCCACACGGTCAGGCTTCAACTTCAAGTTGGCCTTGCCGCGGATGTCCCGTCCATTGTTGGTGCCGGTCAACAGCGACTCCTCAGGGTTGTCCAAGTGGGCGTAGAGGATCTTTTCGGCCAACGTGAGAGATCGCGAAGAACCCAAGACTCGACGGACTTGTTCCAAGTTCCGCACAATCTTGGGGTATGGGGGCATGCGCGAGGAAGCAGGGGTCGAAGAGGCCTCGGTGGCCAGACCACGGCGAGCGAATAGTCTTTGTGGGGAGAGGCACTTCGGGGCCAACTGGAAAGTGGAGAGAGTGTGTCAGTTCCAGTCTATCTGTCGCTTAAGGATGAAGCAGGACGATTCAAAAGTGCACCACATACCCTCTGAGAGGCGGAGGCCCGCTGCCAAACAAGCTGCCGCACCATTGTTCTTTGCAGGAGAATACTGTGAAGAACAATTGCACAAAGAGGAAAAAGAAAATGGTAGATAAATGACTGACTGAGGCGAGGGAGTCATTCTTATTCTCGACCTTTAGTCGCCCTTTGATTATCCTTGCTCTGATTGGCTCCCGCCACCGCCGATGCCGGGAGATCGCCTCCAGACAGATACGATACCGGAGCTGTATTGTCATTTTGCCGCATTGGGTAAGAATAGAGGGTCCCGATGCAGGCCAGCCTCTGAGTCATCCAGCCCCTTTGTGTATTGGACGGTATCAACGCTATACCCTCCATAAAATTCATACTTCCAAGGTTTAAAGACGTTTGCAAGTGAAGTCGCTGAGACCCGAACAGCCGAGCATATATACTCCGATAGTATCTAGTAGATCTATACACACTGTGCAATTTTTGGTTTGTTTGGCGAGAGGGTTGTACTCAGTCAACCACCCCAATGTCATCCGCCCAACTCGGCTGGATGCTGCGACACACTCCTTCGTAGTCCTGGAATCTCTGCGAATCCTGCACCAGTCCAGGCGTTGTCCAAAACATGGTCCAATTGGTGTCGTTCAGCTTCCAGGTTCCCTGCGAGCGCTCGAAATACCATTTGTTCACCGGGTTGTCCTTGCGGCTGCGCCAGCACACGCCATTCGGGAAACAGGACCGCACCATGGCGTTGAACACAATATCCGCCACACCTCCCGCACCCTGACTGCGTTTCAAAACAGCAAACTTATCCAAATATGGAACCATGCGGGCCTGACTCGCCTCGCTTCCGTCATCCTCGACCCCAGGCGGCAGCTCCCAGGTTAAGATGGCCCCTCCTTCATATTCTCCGGCAATGATCAGCCCCGCCAACCGGCCATTGACACGGTTCAGGTAGTCCTGCACGTCAAGTTTGCGGTTGAAGGAGTCCTCAATCAGATGAACCAGGCGCGGGAGGTCGATGCATGGGTCATCCAATCCCAGCTGCGGGCGATTTTGCGCAGTCCACACCTGAACTCGCGGATTCGGGATCAACGTCAGAGGCATGCCTCGTTTGACAAAGGTTGTATGTAGTCCGGGTGTGGTAACAGAGGCTGGCCGTCCGTGCATAGCCGCGCGGCGACTCACAGGCAAAGATGAAGAGAGTAGAGGTTTGTCGGTTAGGAGATTATGAATCAGAGGGTTTCGCTGCCGACGGGTGCCCACCGCAGAAAGGTCTGGCGCAAGATCATGGGAGGATTGAGCTGAATTTGCGACTTCGAGAGGCGAAGTTATAATTCCAGAAGAGGCCGATGGTAGCAATGCGAGTGCCGCTTGGCTCAGCCGCAAGTTCTCGAGATGGCCATCGATGGCACTCGCTTCCAAAGCGGGAATCGACGGGCAGTCGGATTGTCCCGCAGGAGGATTCTTCTCTGCTGACAGTGCGGACTGCCGTACTTGACGCAACTCTTGTAGGATATCCCCAAACTCTTGCTCCATGTTAATGAAGACATGGGACGACTGAGGGCCACTGAGCGCGGGGATACCACCGAGAGGATCTAAGAGAATGACACGATCCAGAGAAACTTCTGCCTGCAGGTCCTTGATCCTCTGGGCCGTGAGCAGAGGATCTTCATCAGGATCAGGCACTGTCGCCAGTCCCGCAAGTTCCTTTGCCAATGCAAGGATGGCATCGTTGCCAGAGACGGCGACAGCCCGGGGAATTTCCTCGGTGTAGGCGACAGGGGCCGCAACCACAATCTGGCCATCCCGCAACGGACCGAGCAGCGCTTTCCGCGAAGACACTTTCAAAGCTGGTGGCTTCGTTGTTGAGATAGACAATACCGAGTCAATGTGGGCCGATTTCGAATCTGGCTGAGCGTCGACCGCCAACGATAGCCGATCGGCCTGCTCTGCAGCGATCTTCCGCAGCGCATTGAGATCCTCGCCCGTGCCCGGGTCGACCACTACGAAGCATGCCATCCCCAGACGGTTTAGCTGGGACAATGTTTTCGCCACGCCATTAATTGTGTAATCGTCCAGGAGTTGCGGGGTGGTAATCTTGATCAGGG